TTCTCACTTGCCTTCATTGTGGAATTTTCACAAACACTTTGCCTCCATATTTTTCCACTTCAAACCATGTATCCATCAAACGTCATCATTCACATTTTTCTAAATGCAAGCCTTAGCTCCATACACACCTTATACTCTGATATCTATTGTGGGGTTCTCCGGATCTCCTAGCTTGTAGAACAAAGAATCCCAAATACTGGGATCCCACCCAAGATTGTGTACATGATTAGCTAAATGCAAAGTAGATGACTATAACTATAAATCGAATGCAAGAAATAAAGCAAATACAAAAAACATACTACAACCACACACAATTTACATAGTTCACCTATTGGGCTACATCCATGGCCTCAAGAAGTTGAAATCCGCTATCACAATGAAGATTACAGTTTTGGGTTACAAAAAATATACCTCTCGAAAAACATCGGTAAAAGACCATCACCGATCTTTCTTTCTAAACTTGCTCTCCCGACTGAGCAACACCGTTGATCAATATCCACTTTCTCATCGCAATACAGCTACTGGAAAGATAACTTCGGGAGCAACCGAGAGACTTTCTCTCTTTAGAAGTGAAAGTTAAGTAATCCAAAACTCATAGGAATACCGTTTCTCTCTCTTGAAGACCCATATCTATATTGAAGATTCATTCTCATAACCCCCAAAGGGGTGACCCTAAAATGATAGGTATTACGTTATCCTTGATCCCTTGTTATGAATATCATTTGTGCTTCTTTCTTGCTCTCCAAGAAACTCCTTCTCTTTTTTTCATAATACCCTTAATCTTTTAATAAAAACATAGGTACGGTGATTTTGACTATCACCAAACCTAACAATTTTGATATGCATTTTTAGGGGGAAAAGAAGGTATCATTGGGCACGTTTATAAAAATTTTAACATAAAGGTATGCTTGTAAATTAATAAGATTGCATACGGATGCCTTTTCAATGCATTTATTTTGTACGATTTTTTTTTCAAAATTTACACGAAAACCACCCCCACGTGAAAGCCCTTTTTCCCTAAAATTGTCCACCTGTTTGACATTTCCAAAATGAAATAGGTGGGAAATCTTGCAAGTTTTCAGTCATTTCTCTTAGTTAGGGCTGTACAATATTGGCAACACCAAACAACCACGTTGTTCAGTATTTCAAATATCGAATAACTCAACTTATAAAAAGTTTATCTTATATAGGTGTTCGAAATGTCAAACATCTCAACTTCCTAAACTTACTGATAGAAGAAATACTGGACTTATTTATAAGTACTTATTCTCATTATTGTTGTTGTTATTATCATCATCATCAAAACTATTATTGTTATTATTGTTATTATTATTATTATTATTATTATTATTATTATTATTATTATTATTATTATTATTATTATTATTATTATTATTATTATCATCATCATCATCATCATCATCATCATCTATTATTATTATTATTATTATTATTATTATTATTATTATTATTATTATTATTATTATTATTATTATTATTATTATTATTATTATTATTATTATTATTATTATTATTATTACTGTAACTATAACTATTACTATTACTATTGCTATTACTATTACTACTATTAGTAGTATTACTATTAT